TCTTAAAATCTAGAACTAATAAACGATGTTAGGTAATTAAATCCTCACTTAGAATGATCTTGCAATCTTTACAATCTCGAAGATCTCTTTTTCTCATAAGAAAATAATCAATTTATGTTTTATTAGACCCATTCTTATAAGTAATAAGATGTTCATCTCTTTTCTTGAATAAAGTATAAGTAATAACAAAATCATACGCTAAAGCAAAATCTAAAATGACTTTACCTTTTTCATTTTTCACTCCAAAACCGCAGTCACCATGAATATTTCTGAAATCTTCTACCACCCTACCGACACGTCCATTTAAATCGCCTCCAATAAAATTTTTTTCTTCAAGAGGTATCATTTGTATTAAGTCTTCTAAGTTATTCCACAATTTAACTTTAGCCCCTATATCTAAACCTACCTAAGGAGCATAAGCAATTATAAAATTAAAAATTTTAGATTTAATAATAATCTTAAGGGCAATAATTCTATCACCAACTCTATTAATTTTTACAACATTATCTTTCAAACTCTTATCTATAATTACACATACACTATTTCTAGTGCGACTCTTACCAGAATACCAAAGTTTAAAACCTAAGTTATCAATCTCCTTAGCCTTTTCTCCCACCCATTTAGTTTCTTGAATACATAAAATATAAATCTTTCTATGAATCATAATATCAACTAATTCCATTAATTCACCATTGATAGTACTTATATTTCATAACATGACGTGAATCATTTTTTATAATTGTGTAAATAATAATAATAAGTAAAAGAAAAAAAAATTAATCGACGTTAAAGGTTCAGTTAATAGTCACGACAACTGCTTTTGAGAATTGGGTATTTCATTCGAACCACGGGGAGGAAATCGGAAGCCACACAAGAGATGCAGGAGAGGTGAGGGAGAAGAAGAAATAGAAGAAGAAGGTTGTGTTTATCTCAAATCTTGCTTTCGACCATTTGAGTGAGGGAAGGCAGTCAACATCATTTAACATCGATTCTACACTAGCATGAGGGCCAGGAGACGGTGTCAATGTTGCAATGGAGGTGCTTAACTTTCACTTGTGGTAGGAAGGAAGATGTTGCAGGTAAGGAGATGAGAAAAGAAAGTTAAAGCCTTGTATGTGAAGATCAAACCAAACCATAAGCTTCGATGCCACTTACGGAAGACTCAATCGCTTCCATTGTGGACAAGAGAAGAAGAAGACAGAGCTGACCATTTTTGTGCAGGTTCGAGAAAAAAAAGAGGAAGGAGACGACTCATGTATGGAAGAAAAAGTCGTGTGTGAGATGTGTGTAGAAGAAGAGGAAGAATCAACCCCTTGTATCCTAGGAGGTGAGAGGAGTTGAAGGGTTTCGTGCAGGGATAACTAAACCGAGCCGAGAGGAAAGAGTTTAATTCTTTAAAGTTATATAATTTTTTTAGTAAAGTATGTTATAAATTAATATTAAATTGTATGAATTAATAACAATGATTAATTTTGGCGAGCAATCAAATTAAAAGCTTAGAGAGATTGAGATAACATTTGTACAAAAAAAAGAGATAATTGAGAAATCAATGAAAGAAGAATATTCAAGTTAGAGGAGAAAAAGAAAAACAGAGTAAATGGTCTAACTATATATTTGAATTAGCATATTTAATTAAATATATTAAATGTTTAATTATAATTCAATGTCAAAAATATAGACAAAAGTTTAAGGGCAGAACTAAACCGATTAGTAGGGGGAAGGAGCGAAGTGTGCGAGGAAGCAAACAGAGTCTTTGAGGTAAGAGAGAGCTTGTATCATTTAAATTTCCTTTGTAAAAATTGAAATCTAAAAATTGAAATCAAATCATATTTAAGTATTAAATTGGAGTTATATTAATTAATGTCATGAGCTAAAGTGGAGGAATAAGCTTTTGAAGAGGTCTTTGAAAAGTTAAGAAGAGAAATTATATTTCTAAATTACAGTAGTATGTCTTATTTCCAAATGTATTATAATTTCAGTTTTTCACCCTTTATGTTATATATCAGAGTCTTATAGTAGAATTGCCTCTTCATATTATTGTGTCTAAAGCATGCATATTAGCAATTATCAATTGACTTATAGTTATTGTAAGAAGATGTTATATGACTACATGATTTGTATATTCCAGTATAAGTGCATATATCGGTTTATTTCATGACTTATAGATTAAGTAAAATTGCAATTATTCATAAATAGATAGAGGTAAAGTATTTCATAAGAAAAGGATATATGATATGAAGAATGAAGTGTTGTATATATGAATGTCTGTATGTGCATACTAAAGAAGGATTTCACCCCTTATGGTACATATAGAGGACGTCAGTGTACTTGCACAGATAGATGTTATATTATCACCCCAAACATTTGTGATGTTTAGATGACTAACTGCTGTACCAATAAAATAATGTCGGCTAGGAGCAAGTAGGCATCTTTCCACCTCAGATAATCATGTAAATTAGATTATGAATCGCCAAGCCGACGTGATCAGGGTGTGTTATGTTATATTATGACAGTACTCCTAAGACAGATGTAAATGTTAATTGCATGAAGTAAAGTTAAATTTTAAACTTTGAAGAATACGATTAAAGTTAATCCATATTAAAGTTTAAATTAGTTTCATTAAATAAATGGTTAAATTTTAAACTTTGAAGAATACGATTAAAGTTTAAATTAGTTTCATTAAATAAATAAAAAAAACACATGCATTAGAATATTATAAGATCTTCTAGAGTGAAATATGAAAGACCAACATGTATAATTTTTTATTTTCCTTGAGTTACTGCAGTTTAGAAAAGTGATTATTCCACTATGTTACTTTTGATGACTCGTTATGTTCTTTTAAAAATTTTCAATTTTAAGCTCTTAAATAAGATGGATACTAGAGGAGCTAACGTGTACAAAAGGAGAAAACAATTGGAAACGTAAAACTTTTACTTGTTAAAAAAATTACATTTATTAGTGGCACTTTAATGAATAATTGTATATTAAACTATTAATGATAGAATTAGAATAATAGAAAATTAAATTCTATTATCCGACCGTTTATTCCCGCCTTCATTAATTTTAAGTCTCGAGTCGAGTTGTGACAGTAATATTAGAATTAACTGAATGAGTATGAAATAAAAATCAGACTTCACTTTAGCATTCCATCTGGGATCAATCCCCTTAAATCTTCCTTTTTCCTACGAGCAATGAGGTTCATTATTTCTCTTTATCGCTTTAACCTTGGCTTTCTTCTTGGAGTCATTCACACATCTCTTCGTATTAATCTCTCATTTCTCGCAAACTTCACAGTTTTTCCTTACATCAAAAATTTCTCTCTAACAAAAAATATTTCAAAACTTTGCCTCAATTTTCACTTTCATTGCACCTACCATCATCAACAAGTATCTTCGTCAAACTTCCTGAATCCTATCAATTCTCTAGTAATAAATTATTATATTTTGATTTTGAGACTTCTACGAGATCATGACCTTCTCTTTTTCTAAATTTCTTTATCTTTCACTCTATTGTTCATGTGTACGATTTCCTAATTTTTTGATAATCTTCTTGCTTTAGAAATCGAAAATATATAGTACAAACATAAATCATCTTAGTTTATTTTTATTAGTTATTTTAATATTTTTGATATTTTCATCATTGTTGCACCCAAATCCTCCTTTTCTTACCTCCAGTGGCCACAACTCCTTACACCATCTTCCTCACTACTCTAAAAGACTAATAAAATAAACAAAGAAAGAAATGAGAAAAAAATTATTTATTTTAGTTCAAATTCAAAAATTAAATAAATTCAAAATTTCTTACAAAAAACGTGTATTTGATTTGAAATTCAAAATTAATTCGAAAATTCATTGCAACCATCATTTTCCTTTTTAGTAAATATTATACTCATCATCATCACTAGCCTTATCTAAAGTATTTGGGGTTAGTTTTGAATCTTCATTTTCATTCATTCTAGTTGAGTCTTTATACACAGAGTTTCGTCTATTCTTAGAAAATTTTATCCCCATAAACCCTCAAAATATACTCCATATTTCACTCCATAGCATCTTCCACAATTCCATTCAAAATATCAACTTAAAATCTCCAATATTAGCCTATGTTTGAATTTAAAAATTCAAACTTCAATTTCAAATATGAATTTCAAAAACTAGAATTCAGAATTTGAATTCAAATGTAAATCCAACTTTTGAATTTTCCCTCCATAATTTTCTCCAACCACCTTTAACCAACCAAACCATGTTAGCTTCTCCATCTATTCTAGATCACCTATTTCCAAAACCCAATTGAATTCATCAAGCCAACAAAATACATCAAACCCAACAAATCCAATTACATTTAAACCACCTAGCCGAACTATTAGCCTAAAAAAAATAAAGCCCAAGAAAAAAAAAAAGCTTTATCAAAAAATATTTTGGTTAGATCTAATTAGTCTAATAGTGCGCACGATGACCTATAAGCTTTCAAGGACATCTTTCCAAAGCCAAGACATAGTTCTTAAGGTTCTTCGATGAAAGCATTCTACTAAAATTAAAGAATAATAGGACTAGGACTATTACTCCTATTGGTCGACTCTTCTATAGGATGGATTTACCACTTGCATTTACATACATACCACACAATTCTTATGTATTTACATATCTAAATAAACGTTCATATATAATGGCATGCATACCATTCAAATCTTTAACATCACATCAAAAATACCACAACCAATATCTTTTTAAAAGTGAACTACAACTTTTCATGCATAGGTTTATGGCACCAATGTGCTACAAGATGAAACATCAAATTCTGGGTGTTAGATATGTAACGAAATAAAAATCGTGGGGTATGTATAATATATGTAAATTTCTCAATAAAAAAGGCAAAGTTTAGACACATACATGTTATTCCGAGGGAGATTCATGGCAACAAGGTTTTTGAAGACTTCGTCCCGCTCCTTCTTGTGAAAAACCAAAAGATCATTATGTCCATCCATGCTAAATATCTCGATAGCCACAGGACGAAGTTGGTAGTCACGTTTCACGAGTTCGTAAACATTGTCAAGCTTCCACATATGCCATGAATGGGGAAGATTACCACTACTACAAACTTTCTCCTTACCCCATGCACCCCCATTGTAAGCCCAAGCTCTTCCCCCAACCAATGATTTTGAACTACTACTCCATGTAGAGTGTGACTTCAACTGGAATTCCATGCCCCCTGAAAGATCCTTTTTCACACCCAAAGCTCGGTCTATCACAGAGAGCTCGTCTTCTGTCTCTTTCTCACATATACATCCAGAATCATCAATGTAGAAATTCTCTATGACATATAAACAGAGGTCCCCTATAAGAAATATGCCGTCCTGCTTGTCTAAGCCTACAACTCGTTCACAATTATACTTGAATCTTATTTTCTCAGAAGGTTTGAGATAAGGTCTGATAAGATATTCGCCATTATCATGCAGTTCTTTCTCCGACTTCTCATCCACACCTTTCAAGTCTTCATCCCTCATAGAAAAAGACTGTCTTGGAGAGCCAAGGTCAGATCTTGCCTGGAAACTTTCTGTTATCCGAGCAGAACCAGAGCTAGACTTGACACCAGGTTCTTGAGCAAACTGAAGATTTGGTTCATTTACACTGCTGCAACGATCATCGGTCCAGGTACTCTGGGCAAGCCCCGACATTTCAGCTTTGAACTGATCGATGTCCTTGAAAAGAGACTCTTCATCATCCCCATAAAGCTTCCGCTCACCAGTTTCAGCTAACAGATTAAAATATGGATCAGAATCAGCTCCGGAAGGTTTTTCCTTCAATATCTTATTGTCTTCAAGTCCAAATCCTCTTTTCAGAATGCTTTGGACAATATCAAGTTTTAAACTGCAACGTTCGAGCTTCTTCCTCATGCGGTATGGACCTTCAATGGGACAAAGCTGCCACTCGGATTCTGAAGCAGAAGAGTGAACCGGAAATATACCACATTCATGAACTAGCTGCTGTAAATGAGTGTGCCACTCGCTCTCAGCATGGAGAACCCATCCATATTTATCTTGGCGAATGACTCTCAACTCAGTAGCCATCAAATCACGAACCAATTCAAGAGCATATCTCCTTTCATTCATTTGTTCCAAATGTCGTAAGTCAAATCTTGAAGTGTCTCGTAATTTCCTTCCCATTTCTCTTTTGCGACGAACCTCCATACCTTTGATACGCACACCAGGGAACTTTGCTGACCCAGCAACATATTGAACCCACATAATGGCAGCACACTGCTCCAAAACCATATTAATAGTCTGTTCTGACTTCCAAAACCATTCAAAAAAGACAGCGAAGCTTCCAGTTAATAACTTATCAAAACCCCCATGCAGAACATCCAAGCTTTTTCCCTGGTTTGGCTTGGACACGAGTAAATCCTCGAGAGCTGGCCGTCGATGCAATAATAGATGTTTGAATATATCCACCGCCAGTTCCCGAGCAGTTTGCCGTTTATCACGGAAGAGAGATATAAGATTTATACAAAGGCAACAAACCAAATCAGTGTCAAGATTGCTTGGGCAGAGAATAAGTCTTTTGTTGGCCACTATTAATTGTAAAACTGTACATATGCTGATAGTAGATTCATCCTGAACAGTCCTTGTACTAGAAACTTTTCCACTCTCCACAAGAAAACCCAAATTGGAAAGAAACTCATCCTCTGCAATAGTTGCTAAGAATGATGGCATAAAACAATACATTAACATACGATTCGTATTTTTCAAGATTGCATGTATATATGCTTCAAGTTGCCTGCTTCCCCTCGTAATATACAACAGGCCTTTGCCTACAGGAGAAGCATCTTGTATGCGTCCATCTTTATTGGAAAGTTGCAACATTGACAATAAGAACTCTAGTGTTCTCAACACACCGACAGGCTGAGGAAAAGAACCCATATAAACACGGTCTACAATCATCCAGCATAGACTGTCTAGATTCACAGACCAACGGCTCTTGTCCAGTTTCTTCTCATTTTCCTCATCATCTAACAGTAGACGCCTTTCCAAGAAGTTCAGTAATCTTCCCAGGCACAAACCTTGGAAAACTAAAGCAGAATCTGCATCTATATACAAAGGAACAGCTTCCAAAATGGTTTCAAGAAATTGAGTTGCTTTCAGCTGCTCCAAAACAACATCTGCAAGAACTAGAGCAACGAAATCCAGGATAGCGGTGGCTCCAGCAGAACAAGGGCCGCCTACATATCCATAATCATCAATTTCAAGCAATAGTTTTGAATTGATTGGGAAGTATGTGTTCGCAGCAGATGAGCCGTGCAACAGAGCCCGTGCATCAGGAGATGTATCGAAGTCCTTCATGGACAAAGAAGATCCAATGGGTGAAGTGGCAGGTAACACTGCTTTTGCATCTTTAATGCTGGTACTGCCAAGCCAAGAAGTTAGAGCAGGGACGGGTGATGCGGGTGTTATGGATAATTTAGGAAATGATTTCTCAGACAAAACAGGAGAATCTGGTGGATAAAGTGATGCAGAGCTTGACAAATCTGTCGGAGGGGTAAGAAGATCTGCAATCCCATTCGAATCATGAAGTTTCAACTCAGAAGTCTCAAAACTAAATGAATTGTGCCCTTTGAGAGTTTGCAGGTTTTCACCAGTTGTGATAGATTCTAAATTGGGAGAAGAATCCATGCTCACATCACTAACGGTAACAAGAGGATTCAGTCCAACTATATCTTCTGAGCTAGTACTCTTCATCTCTCGAGGAAAGCTGCCTAAGCTCACAGAAGTTTTAGTGGACTGCTCATGATCTACTGGCAAGCTTGAATATGTATTTTGAGAACTTGAATTATCATCATTATCAATCATGGTTTTCTCATCATTTTCTGTAGGCTTAAGATTTTTTGCCATTTTCATCGCACAATCAGCCCTGAATCACAAAAAAACAATGAAGAAAAGAAAAGATTTGATCCAGTGAGATAGCTACCATAGAGGAAAAGCAGAAATAACAGTCTAAACTAAAAAAGATGAAGAAAACTGGCTTCCAACAAACCTTAGACAAGAAAAATATAAGTCAACACAGTTTTCTAAGAACTCTGGTCGCCTGCATATGGCAGAGAAAGGAGGGCACATCTTTGCCAAGTCCACCATGAACCTCAGTATTGACATAGCTGTAGCTGGAGCAGCAGCTTCCCCGCCCATCAGCCTCGCTGCATATGTTTTATGCATCAGAGCTTCCCCCTGAAGGTCACCTCCCATGTCCTCTCTGGCGTCTGCAAGCTCCGAAACCAAGCCACCATTAAGGTGTGACATATTATCATTTTGTTGTGCAAGCATGACTTGCATGCTCAATCTATCAAATGTATTTTTTGCCATAGTAACCACAGATTCTAACAACTCCACAAATTTCAACTCCCCATACTTGTCATCACTAGGCATAAGGGCATGAAAGTCCAGCATACGGACTTCTGGCACCCTCGGATATACAGCCTTTCCAAAAATCAGACAGAAAAGTATGTAATATATTTCAGGAGAATCATAAAAGCTCGGAAGCACACGTGTCAAGCCTTGAAAACCTCCACTACTAAGGAATTTAAGAGTAAATGTGGGAGATGACGCAAGACACACTCCTAGAAGGGTCATGATCCATCTCATACTGGTTGGATGTACTGCTTCATCAAGAAAATACGTGATCAACTTAGATGAAACGATCTTATGCCATTGTTCTAAAAGCTCATCAGATTTTATAGTCACCTGCAAATCAATAAGCATCTCAAGCAACATATTCCGCACAATAACATGCTTTCCCATTGTTTCCCGGACAACTTGATTGAGCGAAGCCTGGACCGGGGGATCAAATGTCATTATCACAAATCTGACAACAAGTTGAAGCTCTGAAGCTAAGAAACCATCCTCCAGAATAACACCAAGTAGCACCACAAGTTTTTCCAGAACAGAGACTTCAACATCACCCCTTTGTAGAGTTACAAGAAGATGCTGCACCAGGTTTATCCTACGTAAAATTGACAGATTATGATTCCTATACCAGTGGATGGAGACTAGTCGCTCTAGAAATCCAAGCAATGCAATTTGAACTGAAACAGGAGCTGTGACCCACAATGTCCAATCTAGAAGAACATGCTCAACCATATCAGCATTCGAAAGAACAAAACAGTTTGAAATTTCTTCATGCAAGTCTGAATTATCAAGCTCTGATATGTGACTGAATGAATCCTTGTGAATTGAGAAGTCATCTAAATCACCCTGAGATCCGATAGATGATATTTCATCAGAAAACTTTGGTAAGGAAAGATTTTCAAGGCTGGTCTCTGCTGAAGTTCCAGAGGGGGAAAATATGCCTTTGCTTATTTTGGATTTCTGAGGTTCCGAAAAGCAAGCTTCACATGCAGCAATCTGGAAGAAAATCTCGAGTGATGGCAAGTCAAACAATGACATCTTGCGATGCAAGAAAAGGGAGAGTAGATGGTACCCCCGTAATGCTTGCATTTCATGCATGTTCTGAGGGCATTGATGAAGAGAGCACGCGAGTAACTCCAACACCATGTGCAACATATCCCTCGTTTCAGCAGCTTCAATGAGAGCGAGAACGACAGACATCCCTCCAATCATGCGTAATGTGTCCCCAATAACACGTTTATTACATATATATGTATCTCCATTAAAGCGGCCATAACGAGGTATACCACCAATTGGAGAAGCAGCAGCAGAGGTTGGATCAACAAGATTGAGCAAAGAAAATGTTCCGGATGCTCTAAATGCATCAAAGGAAGTTCCATCAAAAGAAAATATCAGCTTCTTCCCCGATAGCTGTGAAGCGAGTCTCACTAGTCTTTCCAAATCCCAAACTATTCCACTGCCATCCATTTTAGGATTCACCTGCTTGGCAGAAGCATCAGCTTTCTGCACATTTGAGGCTAGGGATAATTTAGCATCTAGTGAATCTAAGAGAGCCATATTACCCCCACCACAGGCCTGTTTAGGAACGAACCGAAGAAGATCTGTATCTTGAAACAAACCCCTATATCCTTGGCCAAGAATATACATAAAGAAAATATTACCTGCAGTAAGTACTTCCTCAAAAAGATAACAGCTACCAAGTCTCCATGAAAGATCTGTAACTTTAGCACGAGTAATTGCAGAGCCAAGGGTAACCATTAATGATTTACCAATAGGAGATGGTGAATATCCGAGCTTTCCAGTGTGTCTTAGCTTCCCATCAAGATAAAGATATGCTACGCTAGACTGGAATAATCCAGCTAATGCATTAGGCTTACTATGAACAACAGCAAGATGATGCCACCTTCCTTCATCTAGTTCCATGCCAGGAAATGATAAGGAAAGAGAGCTGCTTGTTGCAAGAGTTAAAACACCATTATCTTGGAGGTAAAGCTCTGCATAGAATGTGTTTCCATCATTAGCTGCTCCAACAGAAAATACACGCAGCATAACTCCACCAGAAACACTTCTTGAAGATCCAGCTTTGGACAAAGGTTCTGAATCCTTAACCTGACTTTTGAGCAAGTTTATAAACTGAAACCAACAAACAAAGGAATATCCAGCAGCAGGAGGCCACGTTCTTTCTCCTAGGGAGACATGAACGGATGCATAACCAACTTTACTCATGTCCATCTCAACAAAAGGAGCAAGAGAAACACTCTGCACCCTCGTATCTTCAGTTTGGATTAGTTTCTCCAGCATATCAACAAAAAGATGACCGGAACGTTTTGCTTTCATTTGTACAACATACCTTACGAGTATTTGGAGCTCAGATGAAGAGAGCCTACGATGATTAAAATTCTAGTCATAAATTAGATATGATATAGCATGCAGTTATATTTCAATAAGGAGTTATCACCTGTAAGCACCTAGAATCTCTACAATTTTCAATGTATGAGAAAGTAATGGAGATGAGCTATCAAGAAATGGATTAATCATCTCCAGAAGAAGTCCGATAGAACCTAGGTAATAAAAACCCAATTTAAGCGCAGAGATAACTATTTATAAAAAGACAATTGTCAAAATAGTCCCCTGACACTTTTAGTGGATTATTTTAGTCCCAGATTCTATAAAAGTATCAATTTAGTCCCAAGCTCTTTTAATATGGCCCGAAATTGTCCCCACGAAGGATTATTTTAGCTCCAATTTAAAAAATTTGGTGACTAATATGACACTTTTAAAAACTCTAGGGCTAAAATGCCCCATGTAAACAGTCAGAGGATTATTTTAGCACTTTATTCTTTTTAAAAAATTAATGAACGAAATTTCATTGTTATGCTTCTTACCAATAGAAGTTAAGCTTTCCTGATTGAAAGCACTAGCATTGGCAAGCTTCTCAATGAACTTCAGTAGATCCAGTTGCACTTTTGGAGTAAAAAGTAACAAGGACCGGATCAGCACTCCCACAGCACTTTCATTATATACCCGCTCATTGTCAGGCCGGTCTATAACAAGTGAAGGATTTAGAAAATTGGATTCCTCCTCAAAAGTATCAGATGATGATCCACTTTCTGTTTGCACAGATGGTGGAGTAACAATTTCAAGAGCCAGTTCCAGTAACAACTGGATGACTTGTTTTTCACGATCCACACAGAGCAAACCAGACTCACATAGAAGATCATAAAATGTCTGCGAAGAAATGATTGTATGCAGTCTTACACGATTAATGGGATTACCGCACACTCCTGCTGTTATAACACGCAATAAAAAGCTGAAAACTCTGGTGTTGATAATTAAAGAAGAATGTGGGGCTGTATCATAGCTACTTTGGAAACTATGTAAAGTGGTCAATAGAAGCGAAAAGCCTGTAGCTTCACCAAAAACACGCTGTGCAGAATTATTTGAACCAAGTATACGCCATAATGTTCCAAAAATGTCACATTTAGCATCATTTTCAAGTTTATATTGAGATCCTAACACATTTGTGATCATTCCACTCTTAAGAATTTCAACCAGTGACCCCAATTCCTCATGATGAGCCTGGTAAAGTAAAACTGTCATTGATTAACAATAAGCACAGTGATATAAATTCATAAATTCTAAGAAGAAACAGAATATTATATGAACGGATAAAATTTCATACCTGCAGAGAATCTTCAATAATCAAGCATGATAACAGCCGCAGAGCCCCTGATCGATGGCTATCTGATGTCAAGAAAGGAAGAACAGTAATGACACCATTACATGACCGAAATGATTGCTGGTTAGTTTCAGCTTTTTTCAGTAAGGAAGAAAGGCAATCCCAGGCCACAGCAATGGTAGCCTCATCTTCAAAAATAGGAAACTTCCACGAACCAGATCCAACAAATCTGGGTGAAGAAAGGATGGCATCTTTGTCCTCTATATGTTTCTTGAAGCCGCGAGAACTCAGTGTTCTCTCGAAAGAATTGGATGGATTATTCTGCTGTTCAATGCCAGAGTTAAACTTGTGCTGTCTTAAATCATCCAACAGCACCTCAAGGACACCAACTTCCCTGAGAACCTTTTTATACTGCTGATCGAAGGATAAAAGCTTGACAAAAAAGGCGAGAATTTTATGCTTTAAATCAGTGCTAATTGGTTGCTGCAATAAGCAGCAGAGTGAAAGCAGCTCTTGTTCTGGAATACAGTTGACAACAGTAACAAAATATTCCAATATTTTAAGAATTATTTCCTGAAATGAAGCAGGGAATCCTGCCATGTTTAGAATGAAAAGAGGAACAGTCCGCAATTGCTGACACAACTTGTAATTGTCAAGATGACTTGAAAATATTTTGAACATTCTATTCAACACCTCCGCTTGCAGTTCTACGTTGTCTGCCTTCAGAAAAATGTCCTGCATCATCTGAATTGCTTCAAGGTCTTTGATCCTCATGTTGCCCTTTTCCCACATCTCATCACCTAATCTCTCCTGAGAAGATGTGCGGCTTCGGCTATGAGCAGAGGCCTTTCCATAACTAGATTTTGAACCTCTTACAGGAGATATTGTGTCTACAGGGCCTGTTTGTGCAAGGTTTACAAGAACATCAAGCAGCCTTGATAGTGTTGGAGAAACCTGGGATTGGAGGGCTTCCCCTCTACTGGAAAACTCCTGATCTAATAGGGATGAATGGTGGCCATCTGAATCAGTTTTTTGAAAGGAAGAATCTGGATTAACAGATTGAATGAGCGAATATCTGTGCAAGCTGGATAGTGTTAGTGCAAACTGAACAAGATATTGATAGCCATGAGCATTGTGTATATCTTCCCTAAGTCTAATTTGACCAGCATCTACAAGCAAAAGCAAATAACAGGTTAAGAAAGTGAACTGGAATGAAAACTTTCCAAGATGGGACAAAAAGGAAAAAGAAACTAAAAGATAATAGCACTTTATGGATTAATATACCAGGTTTAGATGACAACTCCACACATTCAAGTAGCAAATCTATGATGCCCATTGTATATACGGGATCTCCTTTCTCGGGATTGAAATCCTTCACAGCTGTAAGAAGGACTTTGATCTAAACAAAATTTAGAGCATTTAGTAAGTGGTTAAAAGAATAAAAAAATAGGAGGAAAGCTAGAATTTAGCAATAAACTGATAGAAATGGAAGCCCAAGGATCTGCCAAGACAGTGGACTTCTTTCTTTTATTTCTTTTTCTTGGCATGTTCAAGAGAAAAGAATTGAACATAATGGACAACCGTTACAGGAGAAATCACAAGGAGACCATTATATGTAGACACAAGATCAACTTATATCTGATAGTCTACTGTAATTATTATTACTGGAAGTTTGTATTGCAAAAATCATTTTGTATTTTGAAAATTGCCATCATAAAGGTGAAGTCTATGAATTTACGTGCCTAAGATATTGATCTTATTTTTAAGCTTATCACAAACCTAACCTCGGGGTTGGTTACCTATTTAGAAGTTTGTTGGGGTCATGAATTTTTATATTAGCTATTCTTTTGGGTCTCTTTGGATGAGACTGTTCTTTGAGATTGTACCTGTATTGCAACTTCTTTTATGGGTTGTTCCATTACTTATATGGTGTTTGCGGTTCAATTATGTTGTTCTATTACTTATTTCCACAATTGCAGTTCCTATTGTTCTTTTTTTTTTTTTGTGACTGGCTACTTCTTGGGCAATACTATCCAACCCAGTCTAGTGTTGTGAATTGTGTTGTTGCAATTTCATATTTTCGTTTATGTCGTTGTTGTAATTCCCTATTTGAATTCAATAATAATATATGTTTCCACTGTTGTTTGGGTTAACTCCAGTATCACATACGCACCTCTTCAAACAACTTGAAAAATATAAGATGACAAGGTTGTGCCTTGCCTCATTCAAGTTCTTACCTCATTAAGTGTGTTCAAATCCAATTTAAAATTTAGCCTATTTACTCCTAACACCAAGACATTAGTTTATTAAAAAAATACTCAAAAACTAACTATCACATTCCATCCATCCAAAAGCTTCTAACAAAGTCAAAATCTGCTGAAGAAACTATTTTAAGTTGCCAAGGATTCAAAGTGGAATTACATTCACGACTAGCTAAAGTAAAATATAGTTTTCCATTCAAGCAGCTAGTTAACGTTTAATCTTTCATACAAGGAACAAAAAAGAAAGCGAAAGCATTTGGCTTTAAAATTCTGAGATCATACTCTTTTTTTTTAAATTAAAATAAAATTTCCAGAAAACCAATATATGTTATATGCAATGGAATAAGAGAACAATTTAGTAAAATGAAATACATACCAGATGATGTTTGTGTATATAGTTTGCAGTGCTTCCATTATCATTGGTAAGAAGAAGGCCTAGTATCTATATTAAAAACATGAACAACAAAAATATAAAAAAAAGGCTAGTTATTTACAGAAAATAAGTAACTCAATATGTATTTGCTATACAAACCTGCATGGCATGTCGATGTAGTTGGATGGTATGCAAACGGACAAGACCGTCTTTAAATTGGGAAAAAACATTCAAAGAACCATTTGTAACCATATGAAACAGAAGCTGAAGTGAATCATCTTCAATCAAACTCAGAGCAGCGGAAGGGTGGCTTGCCAAGGCCTTCATGATATGCACAACGCTTCCCTCTACCTGCAAAATATTTGACAATTTAAAATTACACAACAAAAAAGAATAGTTTCACATGCAGCATTTCAATTTTGCAGCCGTAATAAACACTAATTAGTTGAATTATTTTTCTTCTGATGATCTTAAGTTATAAATGATGGTATTTTTGGGTTTGCAATTTTGAAATATTTCAAGATATTTGTGCCGAAGTTGGAGCTTAATGGACAAAATAGTAAATTATCGGTATTTTGTGCGGACTTCTAACAAAATTTTGGAGTTTCTAAGGTAGTCAATAGTTTGTCTAAGTTCTAATATATGAGGGAGAGGTTCACTCCTAATGTTATACACATGCACTGAATGAATATTTTCTCTACTGAAAGTGAGGACCTTGAGATATTAAATTAATCAGTGCATCTAGCCTGTGTTGCTTCCCAAGCAAAATTCAGTTATTTCCGGGAAAATCATACAGGCCCACTTGTTCAAAACTCTACTTCAATTGATCCATGAAAGCTTTTAACTCATTGAAAGTAAGTAAATTCACAACAATATGCACGGTGCACTTGGCAATATAAGGGCAAAGCTGTGAATCTTTTTCTTGAGGTGTACTTTTACATCTTAAGATTCATCCAAAATGATCCCTCAAGGCTAGATTAGAATCATACTTGTATAATTGAGAAATTAGTTCTTCTATTTGAAGAACAATTTTGAATTAACTTTATAAAGCCGAGAGACTAAATTGGATAAAGTGATACTTTCAGTCTAAATTGGCTACATATAAATAATTAAAAGAATACTTCGGATTTAATCTCTCTCTTCATCATACTAATCTTATCCTAGTTAAAGTAAGTTTTATGAATCCATATTCTCCATATTGCCATTGGTCTACCATTTCTTCTTTCTATTCCTTTGACATTAACAATATATGCCCCTATTATGAGTGCAATTTCTACTACTTTTTTTTTTCTTTTTGCATCTTCAAACCACCTATTCTTCTATCTCGTCTTCAATGGACACTCTTGCAGATATAATCATTCCTAAACATATCATTCTAAGACTTTCCATTTATCCACCTTAACTTTCTTATATTAGCCACACTTAACTTGGATATTAATGACTTCTTTCACTGGCTCAAATCCATCCAATTTATCTAATCTAATTTTAGTTTTATAAAATTATCCTTTTAAATTTTTATACAAATCTTTTCAAGGCAATTATCCATTTTAATCACTTAGTCAAAAATCTAAAATCCAATTCATATTCATTTGTATAATAGATCCAAGATACAGCATATCACATCTAAATATTATTTTATTTTTTAGTAACACAGGCTAATAATTTTTTTGAGGAAAAAATATCTGGTTGAGTATATCCTAACCAAAATTTAGTCATAATGAAACTTAAAGGTATTAAATTCACTTAAAGATGATATCAATACAATTTTGATTGATTATTTAGGTGTTGAGTTCATCTCAAAGCAAATTCAATTGTGTTGAGGCCCATCTTGATCAAATTTTGGTTAGGATATCCTCACCCAATTTTTTTCATTTCTTATAAACCACTAAAATTACATTTTACAAACTCATTGTTGCTCTAATAATCCCAAGTCAATTTTCTTATTATCATTTCCTTTATTATTATATATGTTTACTTATTTTAATAGATGTTTTACCGATTAGAATTTATGCCATCTACAAAAAATTATATATCAAAACTACTCACTTTGAATATCTTTTATAAGCATCTCAACAAATACAAATAGATGTAGATGTATTACTGATACTTGATGCAACCTACTATAATTAGAAACTATTTAATCAGTCTATAACTCGTATAAAATTTAGTTAAATTAAAAAAATTATAATCAATAAAACTATAATCAATTTTCTTGGCTAAATTAAAAAAATTTTCCAAGATCAATAAAAATCATATAATGATTAACTATGTACTCTATACATTATTTTATATTGTCTTAGCGCAAAAATATTTCTACGATAGATCCACTTAGCATAAAATCAAATTGATTCTCTAAAATTGACATAATTTATTTAAGCCCATGCGGCACCACTATCTTCCATAATCTCACCTTAAACTAGATAATTATCTTTATACATTTTTTTCAAAGAAAACTTCTCACATTTTTGGATCATTATTAATATACGTTATTATTTTCTTAATAATGGTCTTCTAAATTATTTCTTCTTTAAGCTCATATTCATAATTTCTCAAAAGTAAAACATGCATCTTTTATTAACTCTTTCATCTTAAAGTAAGACTTTAACCTTAATATATTCATTTCAATTGCATCTAACCTAAGCAAAGTTCCTTGATCTTATATCTTATCTTATCTATTTTTATATATCAAAATTTCTCCCTCTTTAGTAGCTTATCATACCTATCATCTTTACAAGCTTCTCTCCTAAGTTGATTCAATACTTGTTCCTCAATGTATCATGGTAGTCATGTGTTTCATCACAATATATTAATCATAGCATAACATTCATTAGCTTATTTCCCCTATTTCTAAATATAGACGATCTTATATTAGCCTAAGAATATGACATGCATATCTTTTAAGGTACTATTATTCATCATCAAATAAAGTAATGTATCACACCACATATTATAGAATTGAAATTCAATCTAAAGGCTATATCACAAAGTTCAATATAGCATAGTAAGACAATAGTATTATCATTATTGAACTATTTGAGGAATTTTTTCTTCAAATGGCTCGCCTAAAAAGTCTATTGCCCCACCCATATAGGTCATTATATACATATTATTATCAACTTATCCCACATAACATAGCATTTATTAAGGTCATTAAATTTTTAAATATATATAAATGCTAATCAATATTATGCATCAATATGTAATTATCAGTACTATACTTTAACAGGTACTTTTGATAAAATTTAAATTGATAGATAATCATTAACCATGAAGATTAAGACGGGCAAGCACATTGCAATGTGAAAACTTTCTGATACATTGCTTACAAACAACTTTAAATAAATATTTAATAGGATTAAACTCAAATAATTTCCCGACTATTTTCATATGGCTAATTTAATCCAATAGTAGCACACTTCTCTAATTTAGTCCTGGACCATAAAAATGGATCCCTCAAGACTAAATTGATTGGGATAAATTTTATATTGTTGAGGGACTAAATTTAGATCAATTTTGTATCACAATCTTTGCATGAGTGATCATTTTTCACTTTTGAATGGTACAGCACAATAATAGGATGAAAATTTATACTAATCAAACTTTAGGCTCAAAACATAATTGTAATATAAATAATTAAATTTACCTATATGCACGCTCATACAGACAAAGATATATATATATATATCTGGATGTTCAGTACAAAATATATAAATTTAATAAAAGAAGTTTTAATTGTGTTTGTGTTGTGCAAAACTTGGGTATAAAAACTGTAGGAGATTTTTATTTTTACTTTTTCAAAGTTTAGTATTACAAATCAGAAAAATCAAGCCCCTTTACAACGATCACTCCTCATCCATGGCAAACAAAGCAATAGGTAATTCTGTAAAAAAGTAAAGAATCAGCTTCACCAAGGCAGTGCGATAAGAGTTAAAAGTTGGCAAAAACAACTGTAATGCCATCTTAAACCCATATAAGAACAACCATAGCATAATAAGGATATTGTAATATGGTAATGTACCTCAAGCCGCCGAACATGCAAAGTATCTCCATCACTACTTTTAACATTTGAAGCTGCTTCATCCGGGACAAAAGGCATTTGACTAGATTCATCAGGATTCAGTAAGGCGTTCAATATCTGAATAAGGCAGCAAAGAATGCCAGAGTCCAACAATGGCTGCTTATCAACTGGCTGTGGATAAAAATAAGTAAATAAATTATTATTTAAACTTGTGATCGTCATTCAAAATTAAGGTTAAGAATGAAATTGTTTGAAAATGCGATGGCATTTTCAAGTAATGGAATACTTATCAAGATAAAAACAAGCAGAAAATTCTAACTGTAAATTTAGACTAATAGACCTCTATTACACTAGAAAGTATACAAAATAAGACTTATTCAGCTCAAGAAAAAGTAAGTGAAGAAAGAAAGCATGAATAATATTATTTTATAATAATAGGATAAAAGGAAATTCCAAAAAGAGGAGAAAAAATAGATGTGTGACTCATTCAAAGACAAAACGAATTCAATGGTTTGGTATCCAACTAGAATCCTTGAGAATCTATGAAAAGTTAATCTAAGAAAATATAATTTCATGAAATTAATCTATTTCAAACAGAAAAGACATCCCTAAATCTTACTCTATTTACTATAAACAAGCTCTGTTTATCACCCTGAAGAATGTTATGTTATTTTCTAATTTCAAAGTTGTTTTTTAAGCCAAAATATGGAAAAAAAAAGAGGACTGCATTGAAATGAAATAGAAGGGCTTTTGAACAATAAATGTATTAAATTATCCACGTACCCCTGTCACAAGAACTTCTAAAGCATACAAAAAATTTGAACCTGGGCACATACCGTCCTGCAAGGATCCGAGATGAAACACTTACCAAAAAAGGGTAAAAATTATCTTGAAATACTACCACATCTAGATGTTTTAGAGAACAAACCTTTGTGACATCAGAAAAGAACTTGATGACTTTCACAGCTTGCAGGACTCTTCCCTTAGTGTACATTCTCAACTTCTCCACATCCGTTACAAAGGCTCTTCCAACAACAAAAGAAAAAATGTGCGCTTCAACTAACCTGTGATTGGAGCAATAGTTAAATATATAAAATGAGCAGAACTCACAGAACAACCAACAAAACATGATTTTGAAAAAATATGGAATTGACCGTTCTTGATCAAATTCTCACAGTTCATAATTTCTACCAAAAGACATCAAGCTTAGGTGAGACATTAAAAGAACGATGAATCCAATACAAAGGGAAAACAATTATTTTACAAGAAATTGCAATCCCAAAATACATTCAAATATGTTACACATTATCAAGAATAGTGCGCTGATATTTGCAAGAAAGTAAGAACCTAACATAAAAATATGCAATCAACTTCAATAGAGTTCTTCTGTCAAACCAGAAATAAAAATCCAGGGTGTAAAAATCAAGTAAAATTCCGTATTATTAACAAAAGAAAAGAAAAAAAAAAACTTCAAGGCCCAATTACAACAAAAATTTTAAAACTCAAACTAATCCCCCAAGGAAATAGATAGAACTTGAAAAATTCCCTTGGATCTACAGGATAAAAATTATTGACTTTTAATTGAAAAAGAAAGGAATGTAAATAAAATGTGATACAAGTTAAGAGCAATAAAATGACAACAAATAATTAAATAAAAAAAAAAATTAGTAGAGCTTTTATACTAAAATAGCAATAAATTCATAAACCCAATTTTTTGCTTTGAATTATAGTTGTTAAAATTCTATGTACCTTTAGAATTCTAAGATAAAGGATAGATGTTGGTAGAATCCAATGAAAAGTTAAAATTGCTCTTTAAAATTAAAAAGTTGGGATCATAGATGGGTAGAGTCACATGTTACTTCCTAAACAGTAATTAGATTCCATTGGAGTATCCAAACAACTTTCATGCACCCAATTGGTAAAAAAAAATTTGAAAACAACGACAAAAAGAAAAGAAATAGCAACCACTGATCAACCATTTACTAAGGGCCGTTTGGGATCATTTTTGTCTGGTGTTCTTCTCTTTTTTATTTTTATTTTGTTTTGTTTATGTTTTAATTTGAAACAAAACATACTTGGTATATTTGATTAAGATATGGTTGTTTTCTAATACACTAAAAATACCTAAAATTTGTTTTGAGTGTTTTCAAAAACATGTTCATTTATTTTTAGAAATAAAAAATAGAAACATGTTAAAAACACATTAAACAAACATGTTTTTAAAAGCAGACAAAAAACAAAAACAAAAACAAAAAATAAAATTGATCTCAAACAAGCCCTAGCATAATCATGTTTAAGACAATATGCACGTTAAGAAATGAAATATGTGAATGGAAAAACTTAAAACAAGTAATTATAGAATCTACAAGAGTTTCCATTATAAAATGAGATTTACACTGCAGATTTACACTAAATGTCAGTATAAACATATTAAAAACAATAAGTAATACAGAGAAGGTCTTCATACTTGTTAAATAACTGAGCTACATCATATTGCTCCTTTACTAATCTACAAAAAGCATCTAGTGCCATGTTTAATGCCTCTTCTTTCTCCTGCAAGGAAAAAATTAAGGAAAAGATATGTAACCAGAATGTTCAAAATCAAAAAGTAAAATATAAAATAAAGGAGGTTTTGTGTATGAAACATGTAAGGTTGTAAAGGAAACCTTTTCAAAGCTGGAAGAGCGGAATTCTTCCCAAAACCTCTTAAAATCAACCTCCAATTCATATTTGCCTCTGCATTTCCAAAAGAAACTTAAAAATATGAAGTAGTATATGAAACAGCAAATACAAAATAACATCTTTTATTGTGAAATTTACAAAAAAAAAATATTACACAAGAACTGGATGGTTAAACCACACAAAAAACTTGTAGCAGATACACTGCAACAAAAAAACACCACTAAATACAAAAATTTTAGTTACCGTATGGATTATACTCTTAGGGAACTATAAAAATAATTCAACCAGAAAATCTTTCAAAATTAAGTAAATTAGATTATTGACAATGTTCTGGGTTTTCATAAAAAACTATGGGTTGGGACAACAATGAAAACAATATGCTATTTTTAAAATTCAACCCACAATTCTTCAGCATGTTGGGCCAGCTGTGAGAGTTAAATGAAAAATACTACCAGCGCATCCACCAAGCGTACATATAAAAGATCATGGTTAAGTACAACAATGAACCAATATGAAATGCAATGATCTTCAATGACACAATGTTATGCATATTTAATGTCAAAACTGTAGAAACTGTACTTAGATTTTTTATATATTTCTAAGCATTTCTAAGTCATGAATGGCTGATGTTGTTTGCTGCAACATTTGGTTATGTATAGATGAAACAACATATTATGAATCAAATTTCATTAAAGCAAGGCAGGAAAGGTTGCACATAAACATCTCTAGAAACCATGACAAGAAAAAATAACAACATTAAAAATTATGCAATTGGGTACTAAGGCGTTTTTTTGTCGTGAGATGCAAGCCTCAAGGCGTTTGAGGTGTAAGCCTCAAATTTAAAAAAAATATGTAAATTAATCAATATTGTATGGTACAAGTATCAAAATAGTCCTCCGACTCTTTGCAAAGGGTGATTTTAGTCGCAAAGTTTATACAACGCTGAGAAGGGCCTCAAGGCATGCCTCCTATCGCACAAATTTAAACAATGATAAATAACTAATAATGTTTGGCATATATTAGGTGAAATTAGGATGTAAAGCAATCCTAGTTGACTTGAATTATCCAACATTATCACCAAACTCACTCAAACTTCTCTATTCAAGTAATGCACACATCCTAAATGTTAATTTAGAGACTCAAACTCACAGACTGGCCACCGAACTTGAACAAGAAGCACGAAATTAGAGGAAAATAATTCTTCATGATTGCCCAAGCACTTTAGAGCACTAAAAATCCTTGCTAAAAAGCAGTAGTGAGCATAAGTTAGAGAACAACATAGATTTATATAAATTAGTAAAAAAAATGAAATTTAATGATTTTGTAAGATTATCCTTAATCCGTCATATATCGGGCTTCAAGGACAAATAGTAGTGCAGTTTTGTCTATAAAGATGAGGAGTCACTGCATAGTTTCCTTTGAATCCTTATATGGCTATTTCTAAAGCTCTTTTATAATGTATAATCGCCATGATTTCCTACACACACCTTGCTGCAAATCATTTTACTTTGCTTTGGGGTGTAATAAAAATGATGTGGTTGTTCATCAACCTCGTCACATCCCCTGTAAATATTGTCCATCTCACATAAGTGAACAATATTAATTTTCTACATAATGGCACTATATTAAAAGCCAGTATTTGACTAAAACTTCAAAAATATAAATCATCTTATAACCTTAAACAATTTGACACAAACGACAATCAGAATCCAGAAATGAAAATCAAATCATCATAAATGAAAGTGCTTCAAGCCAATAACAAGAGAGAGAGGAAGAACCTAGCAGGGGAAGAACTCGGAGAGGCATGTGGTGTCGCGGAAAAATCTGGCGCCTCTGAGGCTCCAGCTCCGGACGCGGTGGCTGCCGCAGTTCCGGAATCGAAAGAGTTGGCGGACTGATGCTGGGAGTGCGATAGGCCTACCTTTTCTTTGATGTCCTTAAGCAATGACGCCCATCTCATTGTTTTCCGAGAAGATTGGAACATGCGCTGCTCATCCGATGCCCTTCTATGGATCACTCATAAAACCTAGATCCGACAACTCGGATCCAAAGCAACAGCGATACTTCTGACTCCCAACCTGATTAAATAAATCCACAGAAACCGAAAACCGCGCTGAAGGGCAGCTCCGATCAGCCGAGGCAAGGCTTGATTTGCTCGCAGGCGAGATCAAGTGAGGATTTCGGATTTCCGCTTCTCTTCTCAGCAAATCCGAGAAGGGTGATTCGCTCGTAAAGGAAGATATGAATCTACCTTCCTCCATCTGCCTCCATGGTTTCGGGTAGGAGCGGAGCGGAAGGAGAAGAAAGATGGGAGTTTCGGGTCACTGTACGTCGCGATCCCACCGTTGCCTTCTCAGTTAGCTCTAATGGCGACTGAATCGCGAGGGTTCGATCACCAAGGCGATGGTTTTGGGAGGAACGGGGAGAGGGGGGTAGGGACGTAGGAGAGCGTTTCGAGCAGGAGAAAGGAAGGGTCTTTCGGGCGTAGAGATGGTTGGTGTATTTCAGTTTTATTTAAGTTAATTTTATTAATTTAAATTGTTTATAAATGATTTTTAATATATGTGATCAAATTAATTTTTTTAAAAAATAAAAATTATTTAATATTTAATCAATTTAAAATACATTCTTGATGAATATAATAAATAACTAATGGAATAATATTTTTTTAATAAGTAATTAGTTTCATAATTTTTTAAAAGTTTAATTAGTTTAGTGAATGATTAATTATATGGTCTTATAAAAAATAAAATTTAAATTTAATTAAATAATTAATCTTATGGTGATAATAAAATAATCAAATTTTTATTATGATTTTTTATTATAATAAACATAATAAATTTTTAAATCCTCACATAATTTATTGATTTAATTACACTTAGTGATTTACTAAATATGCTGCGAAGAAATTTTTTAGATTTAGCAATTGTTGAATTTACTAAATCTGAATTTACATTATTTATTAAAAATTGTTAACTTAAATCTAATTTGTTGCCCTATACACCCAAAGAGATTTTATTTCCTCTCGTCTTCTCCACCAAATTTATCTATTTTTGTTGAGGGTTTATACAACAAAGAAGGTTGATGACGCGATTTCTATTTGGGGAAACAATTTGGAACGCTTCCCTTCTCTCATTTCCTTTTCTTCTTCCCCTCATCACTCCTGAACCGATTCTAATATGTGTGTCATGTAGGACATAAAGGTTTCGCCACGTGTCAGTCAGAGAAAGACTTGCAAGTCTCATAATTTCAACTCTAATGCTCTTAGTTATTTTTGGGCTCGCCAATTTCACCCGGGGAGATCCCCTTGCTCGATTTGCGTGGGACCACATGGTACATTTTGGGTGTGTTCTGATTATTCTTGTCAATGTGATTTTCTAAAGTCTGAATGGCCGTCTAAGTCTATGAGGCACATCGACTAGATCATCTAGTATGTGTTATGCTCCTTACTTTCGAGCAGTTTCAACATTTATAAGGCTGCCGATGGTAATCGGTAACTGGTTTGATTTTTTTGTTGATGCATATTATAATGTTATTTCAAAAAATAAGAAAGTAATATAAGAACATTTCAAAATAATTAGCGGAGTCCGGACGCAAATTGCGTCCGGACAACGGCTGCGATCCACCGGAAAGAGCGGAGGAGAAAAAAAAACGAACTCCGGTCTGGACGTAATATTTTTTCCCCCTCAAGGCCTCAACCTTCCAATGTTCATGCCCAAGCTACAAAGCCTAATGTAGTCAATCATATTTCCCTTTTCCTTATGTGAGACATTCACCGACTCCCCTCATTTTCCTCTTTTACTCAAAATTTTAATTATCTACCTCCTTGCCTATTACTCCTCAAATACTTCTTTTATTTCCTTATCACAAAACAAACAAAACAAGCGTCTTTCCTTTCACATAATGCCTTTAGGTTGACACTATCAATTCCCAGAGAAATTGTGGGTAATTCAAGCTTTTTCATTTATTCTTTTATCATGTTTACATCAAAAACTTTACATAGTTGATAGCTGATCCTAACACTAAACTATTATCGTTATTTATATATATATATATATATATATATATATAGTCAATATGAAAAAAAAGTTATTTGCATCTATAGATAACTAGAAACCCTAATTTTTCATTTCTCTAAGTGATTGCAACGATTCAAAAGTCATATGTCTATTTTTTGAAAGCCTAATTATGAATGTTCTCTGTATAGATTAAGATTGTTGATATCATTAACATACACTAAATATTGAACAAGAGTGTGATCAACACTATTACTAAATTAAGTTGGAGGAAACACAAGCAAATAATTAATTTTAATGCTTTATTAATCATATCCACCAAATTTGTCATATAAATAACAAATTCAAAGAAAAGAGCCCTTAACCTAACATGCTTTTATAATCCTAAATAGTAAATATTTCATTTCAACACAAATTGTACAAGTTCATAACAAATTCAACAATATGAAGCAAAATAAAAAAAAAAAAAAACCATGAACTCAAATATTGGTAGACAGAAGTAGCCCACTCCAAGTTCTTTTCATCATCTTCCTTGCCTCTTCTTTGCTTCACTAGGCCAAGCAACAATCTTCACACACACACACTGACACACATGATAGTACAATACCATCATCCAAATATCCTCTTTTCTTGCCTATTTTAAGTCTCTTGCACCACCTAACAGACATTCCCCCTTCAAATTTGAAATTTTAAATGGTTAACCATTCATGGTTGTCGTGTTACAGTGCTCTAAGAGTAGTGTAGCTATGTTGGGACAACACTATAGCGCTAGATATTTGATGCTACAGTGTCGAGCTCTCTAATTTATGGCTCCTTCCTTTGGTGTCAATAGTTTTGCGACGCTTTGAGAGTGGTGCCGAGGAGCTGCATTCTAGCGTTACGACACTTGGTAGTTGGCATTGCATTCCTAAACTACTGGGAATTCTGTTACTAGGAAAATCCCACATAAGACGAAGGCGCTAAAAATGGCACTGTGGCACTGACATGAAATTCACCAAATCTTCATAAAATTTTATATGAGAGCTTTCTTGCACAAAAAACACATAAGAAAAAAAGCAATGTATGTAGAAAATTATGAAATGGATGTAGATTTTTAGTCAAATTTTAGCTATTATTCTCACTCATCAATGACCTTCCTAATTTCACCATTCTGTATAAGTAAAGGTGAGTTTTAGGACCTGAGAACTTTCAAATATTATTTATATTTGTTATTATTTTATATATTATAATATACTAAATTATAAGTAAATAATTTAAAATCTAAATCCTAAGTGCATAACATTAATCATAGAATATTTTAACATGGTTTTATCTTGCAATTTTTTTCAATAAGGTTAACATGCAAAAATGCATTTGAGACATTGAGCTATATAATTAGCCAATTATGGTGAATTTCTATAGAGAGAAGTATGATTATGATGGTTGGCATCTAGACTAAATAATTTAATATAATCTTGGTCATGTTGTTATGTATATTTTTTAGCAACTAATTTTATATTATTTTGAATTATTTTGCAATCCATGTTTAGTTTGGTTTAGTAGATTCATTTTTCACCCAATACATTTGGGGTGGAGATGGTGCTAGAAGGGTCTAGATATTTCATCCTCGAGAAACTTGAAACTAAACAAACTTGCCTTTTATCCATCTTTCATCATTAACATCAATAGTATAGCGTCTTTGATTAAATTTTGTTGATATGATGGCGGTAAGCTAAGAGAATGCTTATATATGAGATGTTCTTTTAGGAGATGAGTTTGCTTGGGACGAATGGTGGAAACCTAAAATTTTGGTTGTGGATACAAGTGTTGCATGAATGATTGGGTGAGCGTGAAATGTCTCGCTAGACTAAAAGGTGTGGAGATTAAAGGAAAATATTGTTGTTGATATAGAGGAGGAGATGTAGGAGCAGAGGGTTGTAGAGCATGATTTTCTTTGTCATGATAGGTAATAATAATTCACCAAAGATACTATGTCTAGAGAGAGTTATTTTGCAATTGAAAATGTTACAATAGTTGTACCCCTTGGACAAAGGTGCATAACCTAGTAAAAAGATATACATTAAACTTTGGTTAAAGTTTATTGGTTGAGTATGATTTAAACTATAATAGCAAATTTATCCATTTTCTTATATGATTATATCTTAAAACTTTATTATAGAGCAATTTATATGGGAAGAGGCTATATATGTTTAGTGATGGTAGTTTATTGATGAGATAGAATCGAAAATAGTCTCAAATTTAAGTGGGTGTTTATTAATGAGAAGTATGATTTTAATAATGTGACAACATTTATGCTTCATACCACTTTTATTTTATTTATTTATTTTTTTTTGTAGTAGAAGAATGATTTGTTGATATAAAATAACTATTGAGAATAGTTTTGATGCATTATTTTTAGCATTCATAGCCTAAAAGTTTGATTTCATGATTAGCTATCCTTCAATAAGAGTTTAGAAGTGAAGAAAACATTTGTTATATTTGATTAAGTTTTTTATCAAAAATTTGTAACAATAGCAAGAAAATTAAAGATGAAAGAAAAATTATCATATGTGGAAATTGTTATGGAAGATCTTCATACATAAGAGCATAAACTTAAAAAAAATTGGTGCAATCTATAGATGCGGAAAGAGAAGTTTATAACTCTTGCCTTGGCGGCATATCATCTAAAAAATATTTTTTATGGGGTAGTTAAACCTATAATCATTTTAGAGGGTACAAATTGTAGATGACGTTGGATTTCTTAGTCATTTGTGCTAAGTGCTTAATGCACTTTTATAGATTGAAGATAAAGTGGACAAAGACAATACATAGGCGATAAACTAGGTAAAAGCTTTTATGACATAGAATTTAAAGAACAAAATAATTAATCTGCACATCATTGTTATTGTTATTAGAAGTGTCAAAGATATAGAGCAAGAGTTATTACTAGTGAGTTTATTAGAAGTGTCAAAGATATAGAGCAAGAGTTATTACTAGTGAGTTTATGGACAGGGACAATAATGAAATATATGTTGCAAGCATGATGTTGTTAAGTAAAAAATTACAAGACTATGTTGGTAAAATCTTATGGTTCGTGTGAATGAAAGAAAAATAATGCAGTTACAATAAGCCCCTTATTTCCTATCAAATTATGATTTTAGATTGTGAAGTCAATTTGTGTTGGTTAATAGGTGGGAGAGCACCCTAGATTCAAGAAACAAATTGATAGTTAAAAAATATAGTTTGATGAAGAGAGCAAAAGAAGAATACATGACTAATTGATGATTATGATTAGCTTAGTGTCAACATGTGTGGGTGTAACTTTCAAATTTGCCACAAATTTGATATTTTTTGGGCTAAGAACCCAATTTGCCATATATGGAGGTGATGGAGGAGGACCAACTTGGTTTTCATGTGTTATAAGACTTATGAATTTAGATGAAAAATGAAACAGAAGGATGAACAAGTCCTTAACTTTGATTGT